TGGCATCCAGAAATCCTCTGCCTACCCACACTCTAAATTCTTGTGCAAACTGGAATGCTCCTTACAGATTGAATTAGAGGAAATTTTGAAATTTAAAGAAACAAAATTGTTCCAGAAAGCCAGGACCCAATGGATAAATAGTGGAGATAGAAATATCAGGTATTATCACTTGAAGACAACTCTGAGATGAAGAAGAAATAGAGTTTTATCTTTAAAAGATGAATCTGAAAGTTCTGTCAATAATGAAGAAGATTTGAAGAAGCTAGTTACCATGCATTTCAGACATTTGTTTTCCCTGGATAACTCAAAAGAATTTCATTTGAACACTAAGACCTCCTTCCCCCTTATCAATCAAGATTCGCTCACCAATTTAGCTTCAATCCCTTTCAATGATGAAATAAAAAATGCAGTGTTTTTTATGGGGCCTTACAAAGCACCAGGATATGATGGATTCTTGCCTATTTTCTTCAGAGCCAATTGGGAGACGATGGGGAGCTCATTCTGTAAATTTGTGCATGATTTTTTTAAAGGCTCCTGTTTAATAACGAAAGCCAACAAAACTCTTATCTCCCTTATACCTAAAACAAATGAACCAAAATTGGTTAGCCATTTTAGACTAATCTCCTTGTTCTTAGTTCATTATAAAAGTATTACCAAAATCATTGTAGCCAGGTTAAAGGGTTTGATGGATACCCTTATATCCCTTTTCCAAGCTAGTTTTGTACCTGGATGTCAAATTCAAGACAACATCATCATAAGCCAAGAAATAATGCACATCATGAAAAAGGCTAGAAAGAAAAAAGGTTTCTTCGCAATGAAGATTGACTTAGAAAAAGCCTTCGGACCGTGTTAGGTGGGACTTCTTACAACAAGTTTTGATTGATGTTGGTATGAGTTTTGATTTCATTAATCTTATTATGAATTGTATCACACCTGTGTCCTACAATGTCTTATGGAATGGCACTCAAACTGAATTTTTCTCACCACAAAGAGGTCTCTGACAATGAGATCTAATTTCACCATTCTTGTTTGTGTTGTGTATGGATAAACTTTTTCACGTTATCAGTGATGCAGTCGACTCTAGCTTCTAGTTACCTATCCATATCACTAAGCAATGACCATTTATATCTCATCTCATGTTTGCTAATGATCTCCTTCTTTTTGGAGAGGCCTTTGAACAACAAGCTTCAGTCATGATGAACTATCTGAATTCATTTTGCCAAACATCTAGAGAGAAGATTAATAAAATCTAAATCCTCCCTTTTCTTCTCTCAAAATGTGAGCCCAAAACTGAGAGGGAAAATTAAAAGGATCTCTGGAATGAATATATCTGTGGAAATTGGTTGTTATCTCGGCTTTCCCTTGACAAATGAACAAAGAACATCCAATAAGTTCCAGTACATCATAGAAAAAATCAAATCTAAGCTTACTGGCTAGAAATTAAATCTAGCTTCCTCTCTACTACTGTTCGAGTTGTTTTGGCTAAGTCTGTCCTCACTGCAGTGCCCCTATACCCCATGCAAGTTTTAAAAATCCCAGTATCTATTTGTAATGAGATTGAAAAGCTCTAAAGAAATTTCATTTAGGGTAACCCTACCTCTAAAGGCTTTCATCCTCTAAATTGGAACCGCATCACATTACCAAAAACTATGGGGATTGGGATTTAAAAAACTCTCCTCTGTTAATAAAGCCTTTAGAACCAAACTCACTTGGAAACTTGTTAGGGGTTCTAAAGGCTTATAGGCTAATTTGCTACAGTAAAAGTGCATGCCTAGATCTAAAAATAATCTTTTAGAAGTTAAACCAAGCGATTCTATAGTTTGAAAATTCATTTGCCAGCACAAAGATCTAGTGGATAAAGGTTCTAGATGGAAACTTCGCAATGGGGAGTCTATTGATTTTTTTAATGATTTCTGGCTATTCATAGACAAGAAGATTAAAGATTTGGTACTTTGCCCTCTCTCAGATGGAGAATGACAATCTAAAGTTGCTAACTATATATACTTTGGGGCCTAGGATTTCATTAGATTATCCTTTGTAGTGCCTCAAGAGGTACTCTCTAAACTTATATCTTTATTGCCTCCTTCTCCATCTACAGGAAATGACATTATGCTTTGGAATAGAACTACTGATGGTTCTTTCACCACCAAAAGTGCCTATTTTATGATTGAAAAACCTCCCCTAAATTTATTGGTTCCCCTATTTAAAACTATCTGGAAATGGAAAGGAGCCAAGAGAATTCGTATCTTCTTATGACTTACCTATCATAACAAGCTACCCACTAACAAGTGGAGAAGCTCTTGGACTGATTGCTCCCCCTTATGCAACTGGTGCAATCTTGAGGAGGAAGATTTTCTCTATATCACTAGGGACTATCCTTATGCCAAACAAATCTAGTGTGCTCTAGTCCCAAATAGTGCCCATCATAATTTTTTCTCCCTCAATCTTAAAGATTGGATGTCATAGAATATAAAACCACCATCCAATGCTAATCTTTTTGCTAACTGGGATCTTCTCTGGGGTGTTACTATTTGGAAATTGTGGAAATGGAGAAATTACATTATCTTCCAACCTGATTCCATTAAACCTGTCAACCCACTGGATGATAGATTAAATTCCTGAAAACTCTTTGTTATGCAAGAAAATAATCCTCTTTTTGAGAATGAAGCTGTTTTTGGAAATATGTATTGGAAACCACCTCCAAAGAACTAGGTCAAATTTAATACAAATGGAGTTGTATCTTCTACCTCGGGCAAGGCAGATTGTGGAGGTGTTCTACGTGATAGTACTAGAGCTTGGATTATTGGCTTCTCATTTTCCCTTAGAAGCTGTTCTTCTTTTCAAGCTAAAGAATGGGCAATTCTTTGAAGTCTTCGATTGGCATGGGATATAGGATTCAAAAAAGTAATCATTAAGTTAGACTGTAGAAACTTGGTTGATTCAATTGGCAGCTCTGAGACTTATGATGGCAGCCTTGTCTTCTTAGAAAATAAGAAGCTTCTTCAGTACAGCTAGAATGTGCAGATTAACTATACTCCGAGAAGAATCAACATAGTTGCAGACTATTTAGCCAAAGAAGGAATCTCAACTTCCTCTTTATATGATTCGGCCCCTCTCCCCTTAAGGGACCTTGTGTTTAATGACTCTTTGGGACCCCACTCCCTTTATACTGCTTATGTTTAAATTTATCTAATCGGCCTCAGCCATCATTTCTACCAAAAAGAAAAAAGAAAACAGTGCATATAAACCGTAAGGAGACCTCCAGATGTGATGATAAATGAAATTAAAAATAATTTTATTTCTATATTTGATTTGATGAAAATAAGAAAAGTAATTGTGTACTTCTCTGGTCCTATTTATAAGGTAGAGACAGAATATTTATTTTGATCCTATTTATAAGTCATCTCAATGATTATTATGCTCATCTTTACAATTTTGACCCTATTAAATGTAAGGAAGTTTATTAAATGTTAGATTATTTTATTTTAAAATAGGTATATTTAATAAGAATAAAGATGAAAACTTGTTAAATTTTTAGACAGAGTTAATGAGATTCAAGGTTTTTCTTGATTGCAGTAAAAATGGTGAAAGTGACTTATAAATAGGATCAAAAAGTATTGTGCAAGATTGTTGTGAGTTTGATATTGATAATAATTTATTAAAAGGGAAAAGAATTTTTCATATTGAAAAAAGAGTTTTTAATTTGCATATCGTTAGAAATTTACTTGCGCCAAGGATTTGAGGTGATAACTAATACAACGGTTGGTTGGATACAAAATGTCAATGGAAGAACATGAAAAACAAAACGCTAAAAAATCACTTTGGATCGTGTGAAAAAAAAATGAAAATGATGAATGTAAAAAATGCAATAGTAGATCCATGTAATTTGATTATGTTTTGTTTTTAGTTTTTATAATTCTATTTTGATATTACTAATACTTTAAATTTGATTATGCAACACTAGTACTTGCAACTATTAAAAATATACATATTCCCTCCGTTCAAATATATAAAGTATTTTTTGAAGAATTGAATATTAAAAAATGTAAGGTATTTTTAGTTTTTTGAGTTGTAATTATTATCTTTTTTGAAAAATACTTCTATTAATGAATGACTTTATATTTGTTATAGAGTATTTAATAAAAATAAATGTAAAAAGATAAGGTTAGTTTAAAAGTAGGTAACTAATTTATTAAAGGTGAGATTCAGTTAAAAATACTTTATATTTTTGAATTGAGGAAGTAATATTTAAAGACCAAGATGACATGGACAAAATTAATTTTATTGCCGTGTACTTAAATTTTTTTAAATTTTTTTTATTAATATATACTCTCTCTATTAAAAAATATAAGGTATTTTTAATTGAATCTCACCCCCAATAAAATAGTTACATACTTTCAAACTACCTCTATCTTTTCATGTTTACCTCTATAAAACACTCTACAATAAATATAAAGTCATTATTAATAGGGGCACTTTTTAAAAAAATAATTATTACACCTCAAAAAACTAAAAACGCCTTATATTTTTTAACATTCAACTCTTCAGAAAATCTCTTATATTTTTTAACAACGAAAGTAATTAATTTTATATTTATCTCTCATATTACGTTTAAACGTCTAAACATCAAAGAAAACATTTTTTTTCTCCTTGTCTTTTATTTTTAATCATACTTGGTGAATTTGTTTTCTCGTCAATGTACATTTTTCTAACATGTGAACAAAGAGATAAACAAAGTTACATCAAAATTAATTCCACCGGTACGCTCATACGCTCATAGTCATTATATTTATTTTTAAATCCTAAAGATCAACGTTAATTAGACAAATAAATTTAAACATACTGACAACAATGAAATAATACAGTAGAGACTACAATCAAAGCACAAGGTTCTCCCGTTTTATTTATTTATTTTTTTTAAAAAAGATCACTTTGGAACATTTGTCAAACGTTTAGTATCTTATGTGATTGTTCATTCTTTATTACTTAGCATCCTTGAACATGAAATTGATTCATCAGCGACATCATGCAAATTCCTTCATGAAAGTCCTCAGATTCTGATCGGAAGACCCTCCTTCTCTCACGGCCTCTCTGGCCAACTCCTTCCATTTCCTGGCATTCTTTCTCATTTCCACTGCTTTCTCTCCATTCCCCAACACCGCATCCAAACACCTCCTTATTTCTTCGCTCTCTGCTACTCCTTCTTCGTTCACCGACACCCTCGTACCTGTCTTCCACAAGTCTTCTATCAGCTTCGCATTGGTCCCTTGGTCTATCCACTGAGGAAACGCCACCATTGGTACCCCTGAAACTAAGCTTTCTATGGTCGAATTCCAACCACAGTGGGTAACAAAACATCCCACTGCACTGTGTGACAGAACCTCCACTTGACTGCACCAATTTACTATCTTACCCCTCTCTTCCAATTCCCTCCTCCAGCCCCTCCTCGTCGTCTTTTCTTCTTCTCTACAGTTCCCATTTTCCTGTTCCTTCTTTTCTGACTCTTCCCTTGTTTCATTATCCTTGATGACCCACAAGAATGGCCTTCCAGAATCCAAAAGAGAACATGCGATTTCCTTCATCTGCTTCCCAGATAACACCGAAAGGCTTCCGAATGCAACATATACCACCGAACACTCTGCCTGCGAGTCAAGCCATCCCATATAACTGCTTGAGCAACTGAAGATGTCAGCCCCAAACGATTTATCACTCGGATCCTTTCCATCTAAAAACGCAGACGGAATCAACGGCCCGATCGGGATCATGTTTAGCTTATCAATGGCTCTGATGGCTTCCGATTCTAACGCTTCGAAACTATTCACCAGCACTCGTGGCATCACCTCCTTCTCCAGCTCACGAAAGTGCTCGTCCATGGACTGAATGGCAAAAGAGTAAATATTCGAAGGTTGTAGGAACGAGGGAAGGTCCTTCGTCTTCAGCAATGGCATTCCTGGTAATTTTATATCTGATTCGGGATCTTCACTTTTGGTCTCAATGTATTCTCGATAGCCCCTCAGGTAGTAATAGTATATGTTCAGCACGGCGGCCGGTTGAATCCAGAGCAGCGCCGACGGCACGTTAAATGAACTCGCTGCCTCTGCAGCCCAAGGAACGAATAGAGTGTATATTAAGCCGGTGAAAGTTTGACCTCCGTTGGATTTGGTGGCCATGATGAGATTGGCAAGAGATTGTTTTCCACGACGTTTCATCTCAGACATGAAGAGCGAGACTTTAGCGTCGTCAAGTGTGTTGGCAAAACCGTCATTGTAACCGTCGGAGAAGGTGGTGAATGTGAGGCCGTCGATTATGGGATTCCGGATGATACGGCGGTGCATGGAGACAGTGATCAGCAGAGTCACCCGCGCTCCCATGCCGATAAGTCGCTTGGCGAACTGGAGAGTAGGGTTCAGGTGGCTTTGCGCCGGAAATCCAACAATCAGGAAGTGTTGCTGCGTTTGTGCCATGGTATCGGCGGTCGCTGAGCGTGAGGAAGCTTGAAACTGGTAGGAATTTGAGTGCACCAGGTGATCAATAGAATTGGAGCACGCGAGGACGTATACGTAGATGACAAGAATAATTTGGTCCCCACAAAAGCAAAAACAATCTGTAATCTATGATCTATAATCTAAATCTATATCTACCTTGTAAAAGCTGTCGGATGGGGTACTGTATATCTACAATACCTGATCTCTCTCTCTCTCTCTCTCTCTCTCTCTCTCTCTCTCTCTCTTTTTAGATGGGTAGTCGTTTCTGGTAAAAAACAAAAAATTGGTAGCTGCCAGATCGGTAAACATCTACACTGCCAATCCGACTGTCTTTTTTTTTAAAGAAAATTTGTCAGTTTTTGTTTAAATATGATATGGTAAAAATAAAAAAAGATAAAAAATTATCTTGACCTTGTAATAAAAGAGGTATTTGTAGGACCTGCAAAATATAAAACTTATAATTAAAAATGAGTAAAGTGTTTTGACATTTTCTTTATTTTATCTTAATTAATGATATATGTCTTCTATTTTTTAAAACATATATGAACATTTCTCCAAATAAAATAGTTATAAAATACAAGCCTTTTTTTTATTTTTATTTTCATCTACCTAACCATTATTTGACCATTAAATTATATGTATTGAACTAAAGTGCTCCTATTTAAATATAAATATTGTCTAAAAATTATCTAAATTACCAAAAAACTAAATTTTTTACTTTTTTAGAAAGTTAAATATATAAATTGACCAAAAAAATTTTAAAAAATGTAGTTTATTGACTTAATAAAGAGAAAAATAAAATAAAATAATTTTTAAAAATTTAGAATAATTAAATCAACCTAAATAAATTTGAAAGTGAGAGGTGCAAGAGCTGGGCTTGACTATAAATTTTTTTAATATATTTATATATTTTAAAATCGATATGATTTGAAGATTTAATGGGAATGGAGAGAATGTGAGATTTTAATAAAATTTATTTTCTTAAAAATTAAATAGTGTGGTTCAAAAAAATAGTGTGTAGACTTACCATTAAAAAATGTGAATGAGGGCATATATTTAAAAATTTTTAAAATTTAGATAAGGTGTGAGGTAAAATAAAATTTTTATATTTTAAAATATCATGGTAAAATAATAGGTTTTAGATATATAAAGAAATTTCTAATGATAAAAAAGTAGGTGTGGGACCTATAATTTCATTAATAAAATTAAATTAGTAATTATTTTTAAAATATTAAAATTAGTTAATGGATAATTTTGTTAAAAACATAGATAGTATAGTTGTAGGACTCGGTAAAAAAGTAAATATGTGATCTACTACTAAAAAATTTGGGCATGGGACTAACATCTATACAAGTTAAAAATTTAGACAATGTGTAAAAAAAATATGAATATTTTTATATTTTGAAAGATTATGTGAAATTTATGGTAAAAATTGACGATAAATATGAGATTTTTAATAAAAATAACAGGTGTTTGATATGCAAAGAAGTCACTAATGGTAAAAAAATGATTGTGGAACCTATCATTTATGTAGGATTCATAGTAAAAGTTATATACGAATATAAGATTCTTAGTAAAAATAATAGGTATTAGATATGCAATAAAATTTAAATTAACATAAAAACAAATTATATTGACTAATTTATCTCTTATTTTATTAAGTTTTTTTTTTACACAGACATGTTTGAAATATTATTTTAATAAACTTATTCCATTTGTTAAAAAATATAAAGTATTTTTTATGGGTTATTTCTCAAGGTTTGGATGTTAAAAAATATAAGATATTTTTAATATTTAAAGCTATAATTATTTTAGAGTTAAACATCCAATTAAATAGTAAATATAGAAAGATGATGTTAATTTAAAAATAGATAACTATTTTATTAAAAGATGAGATTTAATTAAAAATAACTTACTCTCTCTATTTAAAAATATAGGATATTTTTTAAGGAATTATATATTAAAAAATGTAAGATATTTTTAATCTTTTAATGTATAATCATTGCCTTTTTAAAAAAAAAGTGCCCCTATTAATGACTTTAGATTTATTATAGAGTGTTTAATAGAGATAAATATGAAAAAATAAAAATAGTTTAAAAGTAAGTAACTATTTTATTGAGAGGTAAGATTCAATTAAAAATATCTTATATTTTTTAACAAAGACATTGCATGGGTTATAAATTTTAAAATAAAATATTCTACTAAATTTTTTATCTGGACAACGAATTATGAAAAATATAAATGACAAAAAAAAGTCTTAGGTAAACTCACCTTTTGTATAATATTTTCTTTAACTTTTAAAAATGGTATGATCTAACTCTTGATGTTAATAAAAAATAACTTTGATTATTATTTAATCAAAAATAAATTTAAAAATTATGGTGCAATATATTATTATTTCTTTGTATTTGCCAATGTTATTAAAATCTTTTTCTTACTTTCTCAACATTATCTTCAAATTGAATCAATTGTTAAATTCTTGTGCATGACACAGGTTTAAAATCTAGTATATATTGTAAATGCCGTCAATGGGTACTATAGATCTACAGCACCCATCCGGATTTTTATATTTTTTTTACTTTTTAATTGTTTGATATGTAGCACTGCTTTTTTGTTTTTGCTTTTTCATTTTTAATTTTTGTAATATGATATAATAAAAATGTTAAAGAATAGTGTGGGCCCTATGGTAAAAGACGTACATGTGGAACTTACAAAAAAAAATTGTTAATATGAAACTTATAGTTAAAAATGAGTAAAATATTTTGTCTATTTTTATCTCAATTAATGATATCTCTTTTCTATTTTTTAAAATCTATATGAATATTTTTTAGTATAGATAGTTATAAAATATAAGCCTTCCTTTTATTTTTAAGATTTTATTTTCATCCAGCCAATCATAAGTTGAATGTTAAGTCATGTATGTTGGACTAAAATACCTCCATTTAAATATAAATATTATCTAAAAATTATTTAAATGACTAAAAAATAATTTTTTTATTACTTAAATTTAAATGTATTTATCTTGTAACTTTTTAAAAAAATTAAATATATAAATTGGCCAAAAAAATTCAAAGACACAATTTATGGACTTAATAAAGAGAAAAATAAAGCAAAATAATTTAATAATTTAGGACAGTTAAACCAACCTACAAAACTCAAAAACTAGATGTCTCAAGAGTTTAGCTTAACTATAAATTTTTTATGTATTTAGATATTTTAAACTTAATATGAACTGAGGCTTTAAAGGTAATAGAGTAAATGTAAGATTTTAATAAACTTAATTTTTAAAAAATTAGAGTAGTACAACTTAAAAAAAGTGGCATGTGGGATCTACCATTAAAAAATGTGGTGGGGTTTACATTGAGTAATTTTAAAAATTTAAATAAAGTGTAAAAAATAATAACATTTTTATATTTTGAGAGATTACATAGGATTCATAGTAAAAATTAATGGTAAATATAAAATTTTTATTAAAATGATAGGTGTTAAATATACACAAAAATTCTATATATTTATTATTTGTGGGATTTTTTCAAATATCACTCATATTATAGGATCAAACTAAACAAACAGCCTAATATTTATTATATTTTGTATTATGGTCAATTTATTATATTTGTCAATGACATACCATTATATATAAATGATAAATCTCTTATACATTTTAAATTTTAAATGATAAATTTATTATATGTTAATGATAAATTTTTTGTATATCAATGTTAACAAGTCATACTTTCAAATTTTTAAAAATTTGATTCATATTTTTTGGATGCAAAAGTTTTGGCCATACTCCCAAAACTTGTGGCAACCCCTTGTGTAAGATATGAAAATATATTATTTTATTATTTATATGTAAAAGTTGATTATGATTTAAACACTTATGAAAAAATATTGATGTAGTTATGTGTCTCAATTATAAGCAAACAAAATTATGAGCTACGAGTTAATTATACGATATTAATGAATTTATCTTCCATTGCACACATAATTTTTTTTCAATAATTATTTTGTTATTTTTAATGATTGTACATATGATTGATGAATGACGTTATAACATGGATTATATTGTTTGTTTGAGTTGCTACTATTATAATTATGATTTATAAATAATATTATGACATAAATATAGTATGATTCATTATAATATATGTTTTGTTTTCCTTAAGGTGATACAGGGGCAACATATTTTGAAAAAGAATAAGTTCTATTATATTTCAAATTGTAGGTAGTGAGAAATTTTAAAAAAACAATGCTATATATATATATATATATATAAGTAGTACATTGCAAAATAAAAATCATTCCTTATAAGTATCATCCCATTAAAATTTTAGTTTCATGCTTGCCAATTGTGGAGATGCCTTAAGAAACAAGAAGAAGCTAAGTCATATATATTGGACTAAAGTATTTCTACTTAAATGTAAATGTTTTCTAAAAATTATTTAAATTAAAAAAATGAATTTTTTATTTAATTTTTTATTTAAATGTATTGGTTTTATAAATTTTTAAAAATTAAATATAAAAAAAATATATATTCAAAGATGAAAATTATGGACTCAATAAAGAGAAAAATAAAATAAAATAATTTTTAATAACTGGGATAATTAAACCAACTTAAAAAAATCTGAAAGTTAAAAGTGTCAAGAGTTAAGTTTAATTATAATTTTTTTATATGTTTAGATATTTGAGACTCTACAGGTAATAGAAGGAATATAAAATTTTAGTAAATTTTATTTTTAAAAAATTAGAGTAGTGTGGTTTAAAAAAATGATGCGTGGGACCTACCATTAAAATTTGTGAGTGAGGTCTATACTTATAAACTTTGAAAATTTAAACAAGTTATTCAAGCTAATAATATTTTTATATTTTGAGAGACTATATAGGATTCATAGTAAAAATTAACGGTGAATATAATATTTTTAATAAAATAATAGGTTTTAAATATACAAAAGTGAGAATATATTTCAAATTGCAAGAGGTGAGA